GGGGCCAGGAGCAAGGGCTTCCCTCCTCAGGCTCAGGCCGCTCAGATGCCAGGACTGCCCGGAGGAGGCCAGTGGGGTTAACATCCTGAGCTTAACTCAAACCATGGTTCGAGTCCCAGAACTGGTGACTTGCTTCCTCACTTTCCCTCTCTCTTTCCTTCTCTGTCTAGTGAGTGCATGTGCCCTATAGCAAATTTTTAAAAAATTATAAAAATAATTATTTTTAACATATAAAGTAGGAAAATTTATATGCAACACTTCTTTCAATTCATATTCAGATAAAAATGAAGATTACCTACAATTTAATAGAAGTGCGTGTGCTTTTGGGAAAATGAGCAAAAGAAAATAAGCAGAATACAAAAGAGTAAACAAAAAAGCAGAATGTACATATCAAAAGATGCTTAGAGGGACCAGCAGTTGGCGTAATGGCTATGTCACTGGACTCCCATGTAGTCGACTGCGGTACAAGTCCTGGACCCGGTGGCTTAAACTCATGCCAGGTGCGTGTGCGTGCATGTCCAAGATCCCGAGAGGAGAATGGAGGAGAAGGGATTGCAGTGTGGCCATCCCCCCTGGGGGTGATTTCTCACTTTCTGTCTGTCTCCCTCTCTTTCTGGTGAGCGGACGTGCCCTATAGCAAAAATCTCTCCAAAAAAAGAAAAAAATAAATAAAGATGCTTAGAGTGAAGTAGTAAAATAATACTGCTCCCCACAAATAGTTTGGTAAAAATCAGTACCCTAACAATACTGTGCTAGTGAAATATAAGAAAAATAGAATCTCTTACATTGCTCATTTTAGGGGACAATAGGACCAGACCTAACAAATTTGAAAATACATATATCCAGCCTTTCAAAAATTCTGCCTCTAGGTATAGATGCCCAGGGAAATATTGCACATGTGTACTAGGAGGCTTGTAAAATGACATTAGGAATGTTTGTAATTGCAAAGCATTTGAAAACAAATGTCATTAGTTAAAGCAACAAAATGTGATAATGTAGTATAGTTTTTTTTTTTTTTTTCAGATTTTTGCTATAGGGTGTGTGGACTTGCTAGAGAGAGACAGTGAAAGGGAAAGTGAGAAATCCCCCCCCCCACACACACACACACACACACACCAGGCAGGTGGCCACAACACAGTGCCTTCTCCATTCTCCTCCTGGGATCTTGGGCATGTACACACACGGCCAACAGGTGGCATGGTGCTTAAGATGCTGAACTACCACGTGGTGGTCTACCAAGTCTGGAACTCGGACCTTTGTCAGCCATGTGGGAGTCTAGCATCTTAAGCACCACACCACCTGCTGGTCCCAAAAAGTGGAAAAATCGTATACATAAGTTTCTGCTCTAACATTGAATTTGTATAAAATTCAAAAGTGATATAGACAGGAAGCATGTTACATAGATTTCAAGATCAGTTCAGAAGGGAGAGCAGCTAAATAATGTGGAGACACACTGATAGATGCATGCTACACGTGAGTAGCCATGATTAATGTCCAGTAAAATACTCCTTTGCTCTAGATCCCTAGAGTATGTCTTGGTGTCTGTGTTTATAAACATATAGACATATTCCTTATGTGTGTATAAAGTTTGACCATGAGAATATTTTAATACATAGTTTTACTCTCATTAAAATTGTCAAGGTCTTAATTGTATAAATACTATTTTCTCTAGGATTGGAAAAAAAAGGAATGGTGCTATTTCCCGCAGGATTTTATTAATGAAAGCAAGGAAGCTACTTAGCAAACGAAATCATTTTGAATATTTACCAAAGTGCATTTTGTCAATTAAAATCATCTGTAATTCTGTATGAATGATCAGGAAATAAGATATGTATATTCCAATGTGTAGGTTAAAATTTCTGCATGAATATTAAAGGATGCGGCACAGAGTCTGGGCCGCAGGAAGAGATTACGGAAGAATCCTCCTTGCTCAGGCTCTGCGTCACTCAGGTTATCTGCTGCAAAAACCGAGTTAAGCATAGAAACCCGTTATTACAGTGATACGGGTTTTAGTTCTTTTTAAAATGTTTATCATTTTATTATGAGTTGATGTCCTGGCTATAGACTCAGGGAAATTTATGAGTGGATAATAATGCATCCTTAAAACCCATAGGCTATCACACTGGTGCTAAAAAACAGTTGTTGTCCTAAAATCTCCTGTGTGGGCAGTTCCTGCATGATTGAAACTAGTGAGATATTTGTAGGGACACTGGGCGCTCCTTCTCTTTCATAGATTTGGTTCCCAACCAAGGTTATTGGTTGGCTGCTTGTTGAATATTTTCGCTTTTTTCTTTTCCTTAGAAGTGTTCTAAAACCTTAACAGTAGACAGCATTGAAATATTTAACAACAAGACAGAATATTCTTAAAAAGGCAAAAAGCTCCCATCATTTTCTTAATCCCTGGCATCTTTCAGCATGGCATGAATATATCCATCCTGTTGCAAGCAGATGTTAAATACAGAAGTAGTTTTGCATTCTTCTATTTAAAATGTCAGCTAACTGACTAGCTCAAGATCCT